ATGGCCTAGTCCCACCTTGGCAGTGTTTATGATTTGAAGTATTTTATTGGGGGGGGTGGTGGTGAGGAAGAGATGGAAACATATGATCAAATGACTGAAATGATCAAAAGTGACTGAAAAATTTTGCACCTTCCCTTCACTTCCTCACCCCCACTCACCTTCCCCCCATCATCCTAACCCGCACTTCCTCACGTCCTGGTCCAGGATGAACTGGGAACAATGGTGCAATATCATTTAGCTGCAAAAAAGAATATGTTAATAAATACTAAATTATTTATTTCTCCCGCTCTGTCCTCTCTATATTTGCCTAACTAGCATCAGACAGGAAAAAGTCTCACAGACTTGAAAAAGCGTAGAAATTGCAAATCTTTTTGTAGGAAAGACATTAGAATATGTATAGATATTTTATTATTTAAGTTGGACATTAAATTTCCTCAGTATGTTGCTTTCTTTTGTTATGCCTGCAACTTAGGTCTGTAAAAAACCATGTTTTAAATGCCATTAAATGCTATGTTTTCCTCAGAAAGCAGTTCAAGAAAGTTCAGACAAAAATTGCACTGTTTTTGTCTTTGTCTTTGAAAATTCATTGTATTTTTTTGAAATTCGTTTTATTTCCCATTTTCATTGGTATATAACGTGTGAAAGCAATTTCTAGGAGACAGAGAACACAGATATTATAACGCCTTAAGGGTAGCTATCTTGTGGAGAAGCCCTGGACCAGTTTCTCACATCTGAAATTACAAGCAATGCTTCAGTATCATAGTTTATCTTGAAATACGATTCACCAAATATTTAGGTCAAAGTAAATAAATAACCGCTGTGGTCTCATTAGCTCCTTATGTTATAAGAAAGCAAGGATGCCTATGGACACATGTGATACTGGTAATTCAGTTTTAAGTAAGTTTATATATATGAAACAAATTTTAAATATTTGAATAAGTCAAATTCCATAGAAATCAACCCAAGGGGGAAGAAAAAGAAACTGTAAATCACTGTGTAATGTAATTATACAGAATTCCCATGATTATAGCCAGGGTCCCCTTGAGTACTTCAAGAAGAAATTTAATTAGTGATATTCAAAGCATGTTTCTGAGTTATATACTTTCGTTTCTGCTTCACACACTTATACCGTCTTCCACTGTTCTCGAAGTTTCTCCTCAGCTAATGTTTAGGTATATCTGTTTGGGTTGATAAAACGATGTACAACTTTTCCGCACTAGTGGATTAATGCTAAGGGAATAGTGCTGGGTTATTTCAGAGGAGTGAGGATAAGGTGACCCTGCCTTGGCTGGGGCAGTCCAGTTTTAGCACCGAGAGTCCCGTGTCCTGGGAAACCCGTCATTCCAGGCAAGCTGGGATGATAGGTTACCCTAAGAAGATCTTCTGACCCCCAGATCTCTCTACCATTGGCCTGTCGCAGAGTCTGAAATGAATCCTTTTACACTGAGTATTGTGTTTTCAGGAGTTCACGTTAAAATGCAAACGTACCAAGATCACACATTAATATCGGTTTTCATCATTCAATTTTTACAGGGAATGTTTTATCAGCCATGCAGCTTCCACTTTAGACAGCAGAGATCTGCACCGTGATGGAAGAGTAATTATTGGTAGTGGGGAGGAAAGGAAAAGAAGAACCGTTTGTTAAGCACCTACTGTGTGCTAGGGAATTTGAAGGGTCCTTAACAGAAACAGTTCAGAAATAAGGCACTGGGCCTCTGGAGAAGGTATGATCTTGAGTTAGAGGGTGGGAAAGATGAGGAGCGAACCCCTTAAAAGACGAAGGACGTCATGACCTTCCTGAGTGGAGATGATAGAGATGAGGTCACCCCCAGATCTGCTCTTGGGCCCCGCCTCTTTCTAACAGTGTGATTGTGACCAGATGTCTTAACCTCCAACACTGAGTTTCCTCATCGCTAAACTGGGATGTAATTCTTCCTCACAGGGATTTTGTGTTTCATAAAATTACATGAACTAACGTGTGTAAAATACTTAGGATAGTACCTAGTACCTAAAACGCAGTATATGAATTGAAGCTACTACTCCTTCTGCTGCTATTGTTATATTTGCTCGGGGACATCTGATCAGAAAGCCATGGCGTCTGAGTGGGTGATATTCGTCCCTGCTTTCAAGAGCCCATCATTTCCTTTGTCTCTTTGACAAGTATTTGCTGCCTTTGCTGGAAATCACTGGATTTATTGTTGCATATGTGCACATGGGTACCCAAATAGGATAAAAACAACAACAAAAAGCCATTGACTTTGGGGGGGGTGGCCCAGTGGTGCAGCCATTAAGTTTGCGTGTTCTGCTTCAGCAGCCCGGGCTTCACTGGTTTGGATCCCGGGTGTGGACCTATGCACTGCTTGGCAAGCCATGCTGCGGCAGGCGTCCCACGTAGAAAGTAGAAGAAGATGGGCATGGACGTTAGCTCAGGGCCAGTCTTCCTCAGCAAAAAAGAGGAGGATTGGTGGCAGATGTTAGCTCAGGGCTAATCTTCCTCAAAAAAAAAAAAAAAGAAAAAGAGGGGAGGAAAAGGAAAAAAAGAGCCATTGACTTTGTTTATAAAATCGTAATCACAGGAGCATTATTTTTCGTCCATGCCCCATTCTGAGCCCTGTTCTACAGGCTTCTCTCAGGCATCCATTCAATGCCTCTCATTTTTATGGGACTTAAGTTACATTTAAGGTGCTACATAAATGCAAAATAATAAAAAAGGAGAACAATTTTGGGTGTTTCCAGATCTGTGCTCTCAAAAGGACTGCACAAAATTCTTCATTATCCTTCACACCGCTCTGCCTGAGCGTTATTTATGGGAGTGACCCAATGGTCGACACGGAATGAGATTTCATCCAGCTAAGACATCGCAGTTATTCATAGGTGAACCGATGGGCTAAACTATCAACAAATTTCACTAGCAACATTCCAATGATATAGTCACATAAAATTGAAATTGTAATGAAATGTAACTTTCCATGTATTCATAGATTGAAAAGGAAAAAAGAATACCATTTCCTCCTCTGAGTGTAGATTTAAAGTACAGTTTCCTGTATTTTTATATAGGTGCCTCCTAAAGGTAGGTACAATATTTGTGGCCATAGAAATTTTTAAATCCACTTTTATTCCCCAAATGAGTATTACATGTAAACACTTGAAACTGATCTTAAAAGCCTTAGCATAAATGTAAAGAGCAGAAGATCACAGATTGTCAAATTTGGAAGGTATAGCAAAGAGTAGTTGAATAATCCCTTCGTGTTACAAGTGAGAATTTTGCTTTGAGATTGCACACATATATTAGATGAGTCACATTTAGGTCTTTTAATTTCAGTTCTCTTTCCATTACATTACGTCTTTCTTTTTTTCTTTTTAAAGATTTTATTTTTCCTTTTTGTCCCCAAAGCCCCCTAGTACATAGTTGTATATTTTTTAGTTGTGGCATGTGGGACGCTGCCTCAGCATTGCTTCATGAGCGGTGCTAGGTCTGTGCCCAGGATCTGAACCTGTGAACCCCAGGCCACTGAAGCAGAGCACGTGAACTTCACCACTCAGCCACGGGGCTGGCCCCCATTACATGTCTTTCTTAAGAAAAATCTCAGCAAATGGTACTGAATAGAGTTCTAGAGAAAGAGGGGGAAAATAGAGGCATCCCTTCTGGAATGCCAAGTAAGATACAATAGTTTTGATTATTTTAAAATGCTGGTAAAATAAAGATATAATCAGGATAGTCAGGAAGAACATAAGGGAGGTTGAGCAAAGTAATCTTTTGGAATAGAATGGAAAGTGCCCATCAATGGCTTTCTGTCAAATCCTAGGAAGAATTCTAAGGAGATGATATATTGCTAATTATTTACCTGGTAACGTATGGGGCTACTGCATTTTTTTTTTTCTAGAAAATAAAGGAGTAAAGCAATGGTTAGCTAAGCCCCATTTATTTATTATTCCTCATCCTAATTAGTTCAGAGTTTTTCAAAGTGACGTGTCTAGACCGTCAGCATCAAAATCAATGCAGTGCTTGCTAACAATGCAGGTTTCTGGGCCATTCTTCAAATTTACTAAATCACAATCTCTGAGGGAGGGGACCTGAGAATCGGCCCTTTGGTAACTTCCCCGGATGACTCTGAAGTACGGTAGTGCTCAAAAGCCGTGTTGTGTTACCCTTCCATGCTGGATCAATGGTTTGATGCTACAGATAAAGTGAAAGATAGTCTCATGCATCACTTTGGTTCAGGGGTATTTGAAGACGTGGCCGTGCTAAGTGTTCTTTGCAGGAGACTTTTGGTTCATTACAGGAAATAAATATTTCACTGTATGTGGCAGAATCTGAAAGACCTACCAAAGAAATTTCCTAGATTATCAAAGTTTGCATCTATAAGATGTGGCTCTGTTAAGGCAGCTTTTCGCATAAACCTATGGGATTTGAGTAATGGACATTATGTCTGTGAGAATTCTATAGAATCAATGGGCTTACTTCAGAGATGGAAAGATGACGCCATCAAGCAGCAATTGGCAATTTTTTAATGTAAAAGGCCAGATAATAAATGTTTTAGGCTTTGTGGGCCATACAATCTCTGTTTGAACTACGCAACTCTACTGTTGTATTGTGAACTCAGCCATAGACATACATAAATGAATGAACATGGCTGAGTTCCAATAAAACTTCATTTACAAAAATTTTATTTACAGTCTGTAATTGGCCTTTAGGCCAGAGTATGCTGACCCCTACCAGAAAACATTTAGTATGTGATTCAATCAATATTTAAAGTGAAAAACAATACCACAAATATTGAATAAGTATTCAAAATCTGTATTTATATAACGTCAATAAAATAGGTAAAAAATATGGATATGGTGTTTCTTTTGCCTTCTACCTCTATTTGTGATACATTGGCATTTTCACGAATAATGAAACAGATTGTAAATAGAGCCACAAACTGTCCTCTCATCAAGAAGTGAAGTCTATTTCCACAGCCCTTTAAGCTGGACCTGTGATTTGCTCTGTCCAATAGAAGGCCCCAGAAGTGATGTTGTAAAAGTTCCAACCCGAGGCCTCTCATGCTGGGAATCCTGATGGAGAAAGAAAATCCAGGTGGAGAGAGGCCCCAGCTGTCTCTGCCTTCCCAAACATCTCAATAGAGGCCCAGACCTGTGGGTGAACCCAGACGAGAGCAGGTAGGCCCAGCCCGAATTACCAAGTCATAGCATAGTGAGTTAAATAATGGTTTTTGTTTTAAGCGTCTACCTTTTAGTGGGTTTTATTTTCCAGCCATAGATAACAGACACAAATAGGAACAAGGTCACGAGCTGAGTGTGGAAAGGGGAGGATGTCTGGAGTTTGAAGAAAAGCATGAAATGGAGATGGTTTGAGATGGTATATGTGTGAGCGTCTTAGGGAAATACAGCAGGGCTGATGGAGACCGCTAGGAATTCATCTCAGCTGAATGAACTTAAAGTAGTTTAAAGTAAGGCCAGTCAGAATGGTTGTATTGTCTCCAGTAACCTTCCACCTGTGCAGGCAATGAGTAAGCGCAGTTGGATTTACCCAGGTTGGAGTGGCGTTTTGGCAGGTGAGCATGAGGAAAGGAGGGAGAGGAAAGTGAAGTATGGGTTTATGCAAGGGAATTATTCAATAATACAATGGGTACAGAGGATCCTGAGGCTATGGCAACTGCGAGAGACCTTGTAGGGTCAATGATTTGTTGGACTCTTTTGGTCAATGAACTGTTGGAAAAGTAGTAGAGGGAATGAGCTGGAAAGACAAGAGCTGGTGGCCAGAGAGTGCTATACTTGAAATTAAAACTATGGAGGGGATGATAGTTCTGCCGTGAGCCAATCTGGCCCAGCTGAACCACCTCTCCCAGATTGCCTTCTGGTATGCTTCTATTTAGGGAAGGTGGAAGCGAAGCAGCCATTTTGTTTTTACACTCAAAAGGTTGGGGCGGGCGCTTTCATAACTCACACCCGTTGTTGCCTATTTTTTGACCTGTCTCATTGCTGTGAGGCAGCAGCCAGACCTGCCACTTCACCACCCCTGGATACTCCTTCAGCTTCTCCAATCCCTGGGCCAAGTATGTTTTTAGCTCCCTGAGGAAGGGCAGCAGCATCTCCTGTGGGATGCCCACTTCATCAAGGTTGGAGGCTGTGTGAGACTGACGTGGCTTCTAACTAGTCTTTGCTTTTCTCCACTTTATATCCAGCTTCCTTTTTCAACTGCCATGTGGACCTCAAGTTCTGGCATCGGACATGAAGATAACAGCCTTACAGACAGTGAGTCACGGGGTCCCGATTCTGTTCTGTCTGTCCATCTTTTCGTGGTTCTGCCCCTCTGGTTGATGTAGAGGGGGTACAGTTTGCTTTTGGTACTGGTAACCTCTAGGGTAGGAACATATGATGAGTGGATGGGGAAGAGTAAACAACAGGATCCTCGGAAGAGAGGAGGGTCAAGGAACTGAAATGATGGGGTATTGCAAGGATCATCTTTGTGGATGTTGAACTTGCCAAGAATTAGGACCAAAATAGTGTTGGAGAGAATAGTGTGGAGCCCAGAAGCTTAAATCCTCCGGGACTGGGGGGACCTCAATGAGACACTCCATATATAACCACTACAAGGAGGTGGAATAGGTGGCACCATCAGATGGCCCAAGCTCTCATGGGGAGGGCTGGGGCCGGGGGAGCAGTGCGTCAATGGTCTAGACTACACACAAAAGAGAATCAGAGGAAAACTAGGTGCAGTGGTGTGGGGCATATGGAAGAGTAATCGTGTGGCTAAGTCCTGCAGCCCTTATGGAGTAAAGACCCTTTCCTTTCTTTGGCTGGTCCAGCACTTTGCCGGCCAGGTTATGTTGCGACTTGACTATAATTATCGGGTTGATGACCAGGAGGAGAATTAGAGATCAATCCCATGGGTAAGGTGAATCTAGTTATTGAGGGGGTGAATGGGGATGAGAATCAGGTGCAGCCTCGAGACCAGCTGCATCTGATGACAGGTGGATGCAGGCCTTTTGCGTCCAGGCGGGTGGGGGAAATATCTGTATAGCTATCCCAGCCTCTGGGCCCCCTGGAAGGTGGTCAAGCCCTCTGCACTATCTTGTTCCCCAATTCCTTACAGGAGCTAATCCTGAGAGCACTCCCCAGTGAGCCTTCTGCATGCACACATCAGTCTTAATGTGGGAAACCGACCAATTATCCCTTCCTTTTTGAAATACTCCTTTCTCCTGCTTCTGGGATACCACATTCTTTTTAGCTCTTGCCCTGTCTCACTAGCTCATCCTTTTCAGAGTTGTTTTCTGTTTTTTTCCTATCTCCCTGGCTTGTAAATATTAGATTTGCATCTTTTCTTTTCCCTACACTCATTTTGAAGCGATGTCATCCTGACTCACGGTTTTAAATACTACATATATATAAAATGGACAGAAGGAACTTAGATTGCTGTGTCAAGGTGAGGAGCCCACTTTGGGTGTTAACCATCATGAATTGAAAATAAGACCAGTTGACAAGTTTGTGTATTTTTTTCCCTAGCCATATTCAGTTGTCTCATAAACAGGCATTCATTCACTTCTTTATTCAGTAAATACTTGTTTAGTTTCTTCTTTGTTTCAAGCATTTATCTAAGAGGAGACAGCAGAGACCAAAATAGACCAGAACCCTTGGCCTCATGGGGTTTACGTTCTTGTAGACATGATCCATTCCTCCAAGGTCCTCATTGGCCAGTAGATAATACACTGAAACTCTTTGAGTCTTAGTTTCTTAAACTGGATTGGAGAGAATAATACCCATCTTGCAGATGTGCTGTGAGGAGTAAATGAAATAACATATAAAGGGCTTACGATCTTGTCCTATACATAGTAGGAATTTAACAAGTCTTTTTACTGGGATATTTTAACTCAGATCTTTTTTTGATTACAGCTTCAGAAAGATTCAGTTGTTGCTTACAACTCTTGGGTTGGAATTTCGAATGTCCTTTAACCCATGATATTTATCTCACAACATTCATAAAAGGGATGAGTTCATTCTATCAGTAAATATTTAATGAGCCCCAACCTTGTGCTGGACACACGGGAACATAGACAATGCCATTTTTCATTCTCCCTCTCTTGCTGCAGGTGGAAGGGCTAGTAGATATGCTTTCAACTCTAGAGCATGTTAAAAGAACACTATGTTCAACATCTGGGATTCTTTTTCCTGTTATTGTCCTTGAATAGTGAGTTATGTCGAAAGAAGTCTCTTTTCCTGAACTCTCCAGAATTTTCATAACCTACACCTCAAATCTCAGCCATGCCTGGATCCTCTCCTTCCATCTACCACCTAGATCCTGAAAATTAGTATCTCTTCCCTCTTTTGAATTGAATAATTTTTTAAGCAGCATACCACTAGACAGTTTCACTGTGGTTTCAAATTTCTGGTGGGATCTTAACAACAGACCAGCATTTTGTAGCTCTCTGCTTTGAGGTTAATCCCTCTTTTCTTTCATCTTTGCTTCTACCGCCTCCTCCTGGCTTCCTTCTGGGGATTCATCCTCCACAGGATCTTCTCAGTTCCTCTGTTCTCATTTTCATTCGTTATGATCCTCGCTTTGTTTTCTGGTTCTCGTGCTTTCCCTGTCTCCCCTTACCTGTCTCATCAGCCTTGTCTCTCCCTCCCTCTACACTTTCGTTCTTTTCTACTAGGTTTCTGTTTCCCAAACCCATCTATGTTTTCCAGCCAGCTTTCTGTCCTCTACTCAGAGTATCCACCTCCTTCTTGCGTCTATGCCTTCCCCCCACCCTATCTTCTTCCTCTTTCCCCCTGCCATCCTCCCTTTCTGACTCTCTTTTAATTAGGGCTCCTGTATTGCAGAGGGAGAGGAAAGTATAATCAGACGTGGACCCGAAGAAGCCTCGGGTTTTTATGCTTCAAAGTTTTCTTTTATTTATCTTTGTCCTTTGGATCTGAAGAGTCTGTTTCTACTTATATTTCTCTCGGGTGTGAATATCCAGCTTCTATTCCCTTTGCTCTGTGGAAAGGATCTTATCTAAGGTCCCCAAAGACATCTTTATTGCCAGACGTAAAGGTCATTTCTCCCAAAGATCATGCTACATTTTCAATAGTTCTTCTAGAATCCTCTTAATCTGCCAGCTGTACTCCCTTTTGCCTTGTTTCTTCCTGCCTTGACCCAAACTGTTATCTGAATACTGACAACACCCTTGAGCTATAGGTCAGGATTTCCATATTTATTAACATTCCTGTTTGAAAACAGTATGATTTCCTTTTGGTTTGGCCCTAATTGCTTCTACGCGTTAGTCTTTAGGCTCTGTATTAATTAGTGACACTACATAATGCATGTGGCTGAAGTCTCTAGGACATTTTGCTGCTTTTTGTGATATTTCATGTTGACTCTGTAATTTATCTCACAGCAAATATATGGCAGCGTCAGCCAGTAGGACAGGGCAGAGGCTGGGGTATGAGCAGAGAAGGAACTAGAGTAATTCTTTTTTTCTCTCTTTCTGCTGCTTGTCTGATATCTGGTTCTGCTCTTTTCTTCCGGGAGACAAGGAAAGAGAAAATAAGGAAAAGGGAAAGAGAGGAGAAGTAGGAAGATGGATGGGCAGGCAGCTGTAGGCGTTGATGAAGCGGTTAAATGCAAAGATTCTAACATCTATTCCACATTTTCCTTCCCAATGTGCTCCCTCAGTCTTTTAAGGTTTCTTTATCGCTCTCTCTCTCTTTTTTTAAGCACTGTTCACTTTGGCCATAAGGGCTTGTCTTCTAAGGGCTCGTTGGTCCAGAAACTTCCTCCTTTCATGGAACAAACATGGATTGGTTGCTACTCTTCGAGTGAGATTAGCGACTAAAATTTAGAGCTTTATTTACTAGCTCCATAGATGAAAAATAGACTTTAAAATTTCTGATTGCCTAATCATTTGCTCAGTTAGGTAATTGGAAACAGCTGGGATGGCTCCAAGGCAGTTGTATAGCTTCCTTATAAAAGTCAGATGAGACCTACATCATGGAAGTACCTGGAAGGTAGGTTTACAATGCAGACAAGGAGGGGCTGGGTATAAACATTTTTTCTCAGCAACGTTTGAATTGATGAGAGCTGACAGGAGAGTGTTAATTCTTAGTAGAAGTAGATGTGAGCTGCAGAATTTTAAATGCTGAGACGTTGACTATCCAGTGACAGAATAAGCCGACATTTAACCAAAGCAATGAAGCAGGCAAGATCTTAAAGAGTCTTTAGGTTTAGCTGGGGCCAGGGGTTGGCAAACTTTTTCCCCACCAGAGAAGGACAGATAGTAAATATACATGGTCTCCCTTGCAACTACTTACATAAGATGCACATTAGTAGAGTTCTTGGAACATAGTAAGTAAATTTCAGATATTTTTGTTTGGTAAGGAAGATTGGGCCTGAGCTAACATCTCTGCCAATCTTCCTCTACTTTGTATGGGGATGCCACTATAGCATGGCTTAATGAGTGGTGTGTAGGTCTGTGCCTGGGATCCGAACCTGCAAACCCTGGGCTGCCGAAGTGGAGCAAACAAACTTAACCACTACGCCGCTGGGCCAGCCCCAAATTTCAGATTTTATCGTTAGTATACTGGTGGCTGCAAATAAAGGTAAAGGGAAAGTACTGGGTTTAAAAACTTTAAAAGCCTCCTTAGGGCATTTCTTTATACATCAACCTCTTAAATGTGTTAGAAGCCACCTAAATGAATGGGCTGCTCTTTTGAAATTTAGGAAGTCCTTGGCAAAGCCATATGGAATAGAAGAATGTGTTCAAATAACTTTTTGAATAAATCACTGGATTCCTTTTTCTCCTACCCATCAGAATGCTCCTCTGTAATATGCTATGTGACTTTAATGTTAATGGCCAAATCAGGAGAAGATTGTATTCTTAATTCACTTTTACATAGAACAATATTGGATAGTGGGGTTGGTTATGGCTTTTCAGGGTGTCCAGCTGTTCACGAGGGGCATTTGCTGGTGATGTTTCAAAAGCACACTTCCATGTTTAACTCTCATTTCACACAGAGTTTTGGAAATAAGAATGTGATTCACAGGTATGACCCTTAGAATTCTAATCAAACGTGTTTAAATATCGTATGTAGAGTCATTGCTTGGAGACTGTAATATAATCAAGGGAAAAATAAGATTTTTAATCCAATTGCATTTGTCATCTGCTCAACTTACGGGCACAGAAGAATGCACAGGACTATAATTAGTGGCTCTATTTGGGAAGGGGAAGAAGAAAAACTCAAAAAGTTTCTTAGGACTTATGTAAAAGGTATTG